CAGTACATGAGTAGGAAATGGAATGGGTACTCAAACAGAATACAATCTGTCTCTTATACACATCTCTATGTATGGGCAAGTCATATTTTTTTGTCAAAGAAAATTGGATAGTGTGGATAGAGCTTAAGAAGATGTGTATAATAATAAATAATACCAGTGTTTAGATAGGAACCTGCGATGCTCCTATCTGAGCACTGGTATTGATAGGCCCTATCAAAATCAAAATCCACAACCGAGTTTATAAGCGTGGACCTCATCAGTGATCTAGCATAAGCCTAATATTTTTACCAAAAGAAACACAGTATACTGGCGATATACGTCGTTCGTCTCTGTAGACAATCTGTGTCATTTGAACGGTAGGCTATATGTCTGTACAATTCAACATAAAACTACTGTAATTCTAATCTCGTGAGTTCAACCACAAAATACATTAGGTTTGCACATATAGAACATTTATATTAAAATGCTACCACTGGCATGTAAATGTTTGTACTTACCTCTACATCCTGGACAATTAGAATAAGAAGAACATTAAAGAATAATGTGTATTAGAAAATGGAATCACCCACAGTGTTGCTATGGAAACGACAACAATGCATCTCGTTCAATGAAAAGATGTATTATATTTGATAATTCATGAGTATAAATAACACATGAATATATACACTGCAAATATTTATGCTATAGATTATTCATTTATTAGACAATAAAGAAATAGAGAAGTAATGAATATTTTCATATGTATAATTATAACGCTAGGCAGCTGGTTCGTTGCTCACACGTCAAATGACCTTATTGTAGGCGAGTCAATAAAGCTTGGACATTGATTGAGGGTGGCTTCATTGTACTCAGTACGCTATTGATTTGTTTGTTTTCTTTGTTTTCTTCGCTTTATCGTTTTGACAAGTGAATTATATAGCAAGGGTGATATCAACCAGAGCCCAGAAAACATTTTGTTAATCTAATAACTAATATAATAACACGAATTAATCGTTTTCTTTAATTTTCATTTAATCATTATTTTTAATTTGGAATCTTGCATTAGTTTACATTTTTTTAAGTAACCGATTAATAGCTTCTTAATTTCTTTTTTAACCTATACTTAGCTACAAGCAACAATAAATTATAGCGCTACAATAATAACAGGAAGGTGCCTAATCACGCATTAAAAAGCAGTACGGTACATTTACATGAGAAATGTTCCCATGACAACCGTTGTAACTGTCAGCATACCTTTGTAATACCTGATTATTTTGTTCAATGGCCAACGGAAACTGGGCTGGAGAAGAGCGTGGAACGTATAGAATACACAATATGGATCTATTACTTGGAAAACTGGAAATGGAAGGGTAAGGCTCCAATAATTCTTAATATTTTTTATATAAGTCTATATATCCTATAGTGTACGGCCAAATGTAATAGGTATATATAGGCTTATATTATGTATGTGCGTGTGTGGTGTGTGTGAGGGGAAATGGATGTATATATACTTATATACATATGCATATATACCTGATGAATGGCGATGCCCGAAAACATTGGTGCACTGAATAAACTACTTTTGGAAACACTGGACTTCTCCAGAGTTTTTTTTTTTCATTATATATGAAATAAATAATATGGATAAAATAATATCATAATAATAATAATAATAATAATAATAATAATAATAATAATAATAATAATAATAATAATAATAATAATAATAATATATACATATATGTTTGAATATATATTGTAGTTATGTATAGGCCCTCTCTAAGCCATAAATATCAGATTATATCTTGTCTTTTCTTTTTTAATCTTACAGAAATATGTACAACCAATGATCAGCTGTTGCATCATCATCACTATTAATTAATGATAAACTGTTCATTTAAAAGCAAACATGTAAACATTCTCATTGCTAACATCCATAAACAAAAATGGGTTTATATACTATGACGATGATTTCGGGCTCAACATTTATTGATTTTATTCTATTTAATATTAAAATGAATGAATATATTTACATCATTTTAGAATTTTAAACAAAAGACCAACTCAATTTAAAAAATAATACTATGATGGCATAAGGCTTTTAATTTCACAAACATGGGGAATATTTCTCAAAAGGCACGTAATAAGATTGAGTTTTTGGGAATAAGCCATGAGGATGGGCCTGAGACCGAATGGAGGCGTCAAAACAAGGCTTATGAACAGAATTCAATGTACAAACTGGTGTACTTTTGCGGAAAGGGATCGCTTATTGCAAAGACCAAGAAACATGGCGCTTCAAGCAAACGAATGAAAAAGTACGTGAAAATGAAAGTGCAAGAGTATTTGTACAAACGTGGAGACGGGAAGGAATTAACTAAAGCTGAATTTGCCAAGTACATGTACGAGAACAATTACTTTACAGTAAAGAAGGTATCAGATTTTATTTCATGACTCGCTTTATATTAACTATAGTGCCACACAGTTTTATTACCAATATTTATTAATATTACCGTCAGTTGTTTTGTTAAATTCAGGTTGACAGACCCCAATCGGAGGACTTGATCAAATACTTGGAAGATTATGAAAAGTCGGTCGGTTTTGACAGGTTTAAGCAACACCAGGTCTGTTGGGACCTCAACAAGCGAGGCGAAGTAGGAGAAACAATTTTACATCTGTGTTTTCTGAATAATACAGAGCATCACCGTGCCCTGGCCTACACACTGATGGAATGCTTCCCACTAATGGCGCTCGACATTTACGAAGGACCAGAGTATTACGGTTGTACCATTCGTTATATCTCATTCTCATTCAGTGACTGATGACGATGATATAAATGATTATATTATTTTTTATGATTTATTATTATTATTTTTATGATTAATTATTATTATTATTACTATTTATTGTTATTGTTGTCGTTATCGTCATTGTTATTATTATTATTATTATTATTATTATTATTATTATTATTATTATTATTATTGTCATCATTATGATGTAGGAGAAGGGATGCTGCACATGGCAATAATCAACAATGACATCGAATCCGTCCACCTCCTGATTAAATATCACGTTCCCATAGATCAGCGAGCAACTGGTAGATTTTTCTGCCCTAAAGACATGAAAGACAGAGCTATGAAGGAGAAGAATTTGTATACAAGTAAATATGAGGGCGAAACATATTTTGGCGAGTATCCACTGGCATTTGCTGCAAGTGTAGGTAGTATAGAGATATATGATATTTTAGTCAACGCAAGTCTTTCTGCGGAAACATGTGGGAAGGTTGATCCGAATGCTAAGGATAACTTTGGCAACACCGTCCTGCATATGCTTGTTATCCATAATCAAGTGGTAAGTGCTTTTCGTTCGTTTATGTATGTTTTTCTGCCTCGCTTTTTAATTATGTTACTGTTTTTTATCATTAATGAACACCTTTTTTTATTTTATACATGGTTTTGCTTTATATGACCCATATAATTTTAATTTGAATAATTTTGTACAAATGATGCCAAATATGTTCAATTCATGGGTTTATATTAAGCAAGAAGCATGTAAAGCAATTAATAATATTGGTATCATCCATTTCATTGGTTCGCAGCACATGTTCAATTATGTTGCTAGCCATAAGTTAATGCCTGCTGACCATGAATTACGAAACCATGCAGGACTTACCCCGATGGAGCTGTCTTTCCAGTTGGGCCGCAGTGAGCTGTTCTCCAATTTGTTGGATCTAGCTAGTGTGCCCCAGTGGTCCTTTGGAGAAATTACATACTCGGCATACCCCCTTTCATTTATTGATACCATTGGCCCAAATGGTGAAACAAGTAAGATTTAGAATTCATTCATTCATTCGTTTGTTCATTCATTCATTCATTCATTCATTCATTCATTCATTCATTTATTCATTCGTTCATTTATTTATTCATTCATTCATTCATCCATCCCTCAATGCATTCATTCATTCATTCGTGCATTCATTCATTCATTGATCATTTTTTAGTTTACCATGATTATATACCCTTTGCATTGTACTATTATAAGTTGCAATGAAGTCTTTATTCTAATATTTTGGTAACCTGTTTTACGATCTAAAATACGTAAATATGAAAATACGACGTTACCAAATATAATTAATAAACAGTTAAACAATCTATTATCATATTTACTTATTTATATAACTATTCATTCATTTAGTCCTTTGTATATGTGTCCATTCATTTTTTCATTCTTTTATTTTTACGTTCAGATGAACATTCTGCGTTAAGAATCATCGTTCGTGGAGAAACCCAAGAGCATCTTGAAATGTTGGATGGAGAAATTATAAACACCCTGCTAATGCACAAATGGAAACACTATGCAAAGGTTAATAGAATGCTAGTAGGCCTACAAATAGACTTATTGTTTCAAAAAACTCCCCTCCATGATAGCCAAAAGTAAAACACTTCGAGGGTTCTCCAAGGTATCATAAAATAGAAAATAGAAACATACACTTGAATTTTTTTCGATAAAAAGTCGTAAAAAATATATAAAATATATACAAAGAATTCATAACAAAAGAATAAAATAGGCCTATACAATATAAATTGTAATTTTATTTACAAATTGTTCAAATTATTATACATTAGGTTACATGATATTATATTTTTAAAAAAACAAGTACGCCTAAATGCGATTTAGTACAAAAGCATTTTGTAAACATTGTTATTATTTGCAGGGTAAGTTTATCTCCAAGTTGTTTGGACTATGGTACTTTTGAGCTTCCTGTCACTTGCGGTGCTCCGCCCGAAAGGAGATCTACAATAAATTGTAGTAATTTTACTTACAAATTGTTCAAATTACTATACATTAGGTTATATGATATTATATTTAAAAAAACAAGTAAATGCGATTTGGTACAAAAATATTTTGTAAACATTGTTAATTAACATTGTTATTATTTGCAGAGTAAGTTTATCTTCAAGTTTGTTTGGACTTTGGTACATTTGAGCTTCCTGTCACTTGCGATATATCTCCGCCCAAAAGGAGATCTCATGTCGTCAGATGCTAATTCTGGTCGTTTGGCAAAATTCGATGTTTGCGTGGTAAATCATAGTTTTTCACTTTGTGTGTTTGATGTCCAAATCTACGTTTAGGCCTATAAGAAGCTAGGCATAGGCCTATGTTGCAGCGGCAGCGTTGGGCGTTCAGCCCACCTGGAATTAGATGAGGGTTAAACAAGCTTTAATAACGTTTTTTGTGTCAAAATAATTTACATTTTGTAATATTTTTTTTTTATTGCTTTTAACATACATATAACAAAATAATATAATATAATGCAATATTACAATACACAATCTCATCTCATCTACATTTTGTAATATGATTTTTTTTTTGTTATATTAATATATCCTCAAATATTCAATTTATTATTATCTATAATACCCTTTTGATCAGGTGAGATGGTTTGCCGAAATTTGCGTATTAATAGGATGCGTTGCAAAAACAATCATTGAAGTTAGAGAAGTCATCTCACGAGGATCCATTAGATCATACTTAAAAAGTCTGGTAAGATTTCCGAATGTATAATCGTTATTATATTACTATCAAATCGCAGAGTCACTTAACAGCAAATAGGCATATCCTATTTGAAATTAGCTCATTGAATGAATTCGAAGGACAAATATTATAGCATGTTGTTTATAAAGTATTCAAAAATATCCTAATTGCAGTGAAGCATATCTGAAATGTATTCATAGTGTTGCAATGTAAAGAGAAAATGTTTACTTGTCCCCCAACGATACAGAAACCTCAGCAATATCAAACAATTTGTATATTTTATAAAAGGCATTTTATAGTGCATTGTACTCTCAGACAATGAGCAGTAGAGTAGAGGCATGAGAGAATGAAGTCTTTGCAAATAGGCCTACATATTAGATGCCATGATATACTTGCTTTTAATATAAAGTTTAAAGATGTATTGTCCCCTGAAAATGATAAACAAATCATTCAAAATAGTTTTAAAATTAACTTGCTCATTTTGCGGTAACATAGACCTTCAAATTATTAACTTGACCCTGATTTTTATACTGGATAATGATAATAAAAATAATAAAATACTTCCAGTGACTGAAAGCATGTTTCTATCATTTTTCGCTGTAAATGAGTAAATATTTTTTAAATACACTAATTTTTATGTTCAAGTTGATAATTTTTATGTTACTTCAAAATTTCAAATATTAATTTTGTATTTTTTTTTCGTATTATGCATTAGACAATACATCTTTAACAGATTGCACTTGCACCTTATTCTTCCTAGTAGTAAAACAACAGGCGCTGCAGCAATCAGCTGCAGCGGTTTGGATCGCTGCCTGGCCTTATGGACCTTTCCGCTAAGCTCCGCCCCTTGGATATTGTTGCTAAGGTCCCACAAGATGGCAGTGTTAAAACATACGCGAGCACGTGCGTTTGTGGGACAACACATGTGTTTGTAAGACGCGCGTGCATTTCTAGCGCTGTTCTGATTGGTCAGTTGTTAAGTTTGATTGACACTCCGGAAAGGTCTATTGCCTGACTGGGCCCAGTTTAAAACTAAGAAGAAATATGTACAGGAGACGTATAGTCTTTTAATTATGTATTTTACAAATTTCTTGATTCTATTTTATTGTTTGATCAACAGTATGGGATGCCTGCTAAATCTGCATTCATAATTGCAATCATCATGCTCTACCTCTGTGTACCTCTGCGTCTGCTCAACTTGAAGAACGTAGAAGAACTGTTCCTCAGCATTATCTTACCTTTCTCATGGCTTTACATCTTGTTCTTTTATAGGTACAGTATTAACAGGGTAGATTGTATCACATGTGGTACTGAATACTATTACTTTCTTAGGCCGATAGTTGAGGCAGGTAGTTTGAAGCCAGAAAGAATGTTAACAGAAACACAGTTATTAGGCTAACAATATGGTAAAACAATGTTGCTGATTGAATATTTTTTAATTTAAGTTCTCATTAGAATGAAAAATCTCGACGTTTGAATATAATATTTTACTAATTATTAGAAGTTCTTGTGTAAATGTAAATTGATTAGATTAATTACTGATATATATTGTAAGATTATATTAATTATTTTAATTTTTGTCCCGTCTTTTAGAGCTATGAAAGGTTTGGGACCATTTGTCCACATGATTTATGAGATGTTACGAGGAGACCTTCTCCGCTTTTCCATCATCTATGGAATCTTCATTTTCATGTTTTCACAAGGTAAAGTTAAAATATTCAAATCTACTATATGGGATGTGTAATGAACGAACGTCAGTTGTGGAGTAACAGGGGTCAAATAGGCACATGCATCGTCATATTTGAGTCAAAACAGCGGTCCGCCCATTAATAGACCTTTCCGGAGTGTAGATCAAACTAATCACCAGAACAGGATTAGGAATACGCGCATGTCCCACAGACACAGAAGTTTTCGCACATTTACGCTGCTTTGTAAGACATCGACGGGGACATCGACAATAACATTCAACAGGCAGGGCTTAGCGGCACAGTCTATTCTACCCTTTCGTGCCCTTCCCCTTGTTCTTTGTCCATTTTATCCTGTTGTGCAAATTCGTAATTTACTCGTAAATCAAAATTAAGTCATAATTTGAATAAATAAAATAATATAATTAAGCGCTTTTATCAACCCAATGCAAAATTAATAAAATGTAGTTACAGGGTTGTCAACACTGCTGCATTGAATATATTATAGGCTATAATATACATTCCTCATCATTTATACATATTTTCTTTCAGTATTTTTCCACATGTATAAAGATACTGACGTAGAAACGAGTGATACATTCGCAACAGTTCATGGTTCCGTAATGTCTGTTTTTAAAATGACGTTCGGGGATTTTTCCGTAAGTACAGGTATTATACTTGGTTTAAGATTGGTATAGGCCTATATATTTCCACAATCAGCAATGGTAAACATAGAAGCTGAGGTGCTGCTGCCCAATTATCAAATATTGCTGAGCAAAACTCTTTTCGTTTTATCAATAACCAGCTGTTTGTAGAGCGTGTAGCGATTTTATGGTACCCAGCTATTAATGAAGCAAATAAATTGTTTCAAGCATATAACATAATGACATGTACTGCGATTTTTTTTTATTTATAGGATGATCTATTTGACCAAACTCGTCATTGGTTTTTGTCAAGAGTTGTATTTGTTCTATTCGCCATCTATCTGCCGATTTTATTACTGAATATGTTGATTGCTATGATGGGTCGAACTTACACCATCATCGAACAGAAGGCAAAGAGAGAGTGGAAAAGACAGGTTAGTGTTGGCTTTACAATTAGTTTAACCTCTTATTAAGTAGAGCCTACTGTTATTATGCTGTTTATATTATATACATAATTGAATGGTAATATAAATGAAATGAAAATAATAAACAATAGCGGAATGAATTCTTGTACGGATGGATTCATTATTAAACGGACGGACGGGTGTGTGTGGGGTGGGGAGACAGATGAATAAATAAATAAATTATTTAATGGATGAATGGATGGATGGGAGATTGTATATGGATAGAGATATCAATGAATGGATAGATGGGTGAACGAAAGAAATGAATAGACTACACACTAAAAGCTACATTAATATCTATTTTATTTTTATTTTTTCTTCAAATTTGGTTATAGTTAGCAATCATAATTTTGAATGTAGAAAGAGCCATTTCCAAAAACGATCTGGCCAAGATGCGTCTTAAATACTCAACAGAGATTAAGAGAAGGCGTAAACGAAAGAAAGTTCCAAGGAAGTGGTCGCGTGCAAACTCATTAGCAAGTATTGTGACTGCCGGGGTGGCATTCAATGAGCTAAAGTAAGCACTGCCATTAATGTTAGGTTTTAATATTAGTTAAAGTTATTAAAAGAATATAGGCCTATTGGAATGCACGGAAGCCCGTTAGTGCCACCAGTGAATTAAAATTTCAGATCATAATTATCTGGCGGCCGCCACTTAACAACTCTGAAAATTTAATTCACTGGTGGCACTAACTGGCTTCCGTAGGAATGAAATATACATAGTACATATATACGTAACAGAAGAAAGTGCAGACTCATTAGCAAAGTATTGTGATTGCCGGTGAGGCATTCAATGAGCTAAAGTAAGCCCTGTCATTAATGGCGAAGTTTTATTACTAATATAATTTGTTAAAGGAATATATTAACGAATATTGTAGGAAAATTATCTGTTTTGTTGGGCCAATTATTGTACTTATTGTGGTTGTCGGTGAGAAATGGAATGAACTTAAGTAACCACTACCGTTAATAGCGAAGTTTTATTACTAACAAAATTGATTAAAATAATATACTGGAACACATAGTCCCTACATGTATACACCTTCTTAGTAAGTAAAATAAATTAAATTAATTGGAAATTCCTAATTTATTGAAAAGTTAGCTACAATAGCTACACTCTCTTAAATAATCTTTACTATCTATAATTAATTGAACCATGGACCTATTAATAATTGATTAATTATTAATAGGTCCATGATTGAACCGTGTATATCCTGTCTCTTATACACATCTAGATGTGTATAAGAGACAGGCATTCAATGAGCTAAAGTAAGCACTGCCATTAATGTTAGGTTTTAATATTAGTTAAAGTTATTAAAAGAATATAGGCCACTATTAGATTTACTAAATACATTTATCGCACGACGGTTTTCAAAGAATGTTACACTAGCAGAAATGCTGTAAGCACTCTATTCTCCATCCAGTTCAAATACAGAATCTGTGAACAATTCTAGAATGTATCAGCCAAATGTAAAATCAGAAGAGGAAACAGATGAAGAGGAGGTGGAAGAAACATTTAGGGCTTTGATGTTCCTAAAGAGATCAGATCCTGCTAGCAAAAAGAACTCAATGCAAGCTAAAAGGCTATGGAAGGCAAGTGATATAGACATTATGAAAATCAAGTGATAAGATATCATGGAATAGTGGTGGTGATGGTGGTGGTAACAATGATGATGATGATAATGATGATGATAAAAATAAAGATGATGATATTGATGATGATGATGATGATGAAGATAATGATGATGATGATTCGACGATTTTTTAGCCTGGTATAATATAGTGTAAAATAATGCTTATAACTATTTCAAATTGCTCTAAAAGCTTGAAATTAACATGTCGCTTATTTTTATAAATGTTTTACTGTAGAAATCGGTGAAGTTGGTACATCATTCAAAGAAAGTAAAGGAAAGAGCAAACAGCAATTTAGAAGGACACACGTCAGAGTTAAAAGAAAACATTGAGACTCAAATGAATTTTAAACCAATGCTTCAAAAACATGACTTACCAACAGTTACAAGCTGAGATCCATCAGCGCTGCAATAAAAAGTTTTTTTTTTCACATATAATACGGGTTTTTTATGTTTGTTTATATTTTATTCATTTACCTATGCTATATACTATATTTATGATTATTGTTGTCGTTATAGTCGTCGCCATAGTCGTTGTTGTTGGTGGTGTTGGTCTTCTTATTGTTACGCCATTTTAAAATACAGCATAAGACATAAAAGAGAAATATCCGGGAGATTTATTTTATTTCACATCCAACATCCGCCACTTACAGAATGGAATAACATAAACAAAGACAACAATAAAGAACAATCCATTTACAATACACACAAAAAAACAGTAAAAAATCTAAATATATATCTTAATTTTACGTTAAAATGTTCTAAACGAATAATAAATATCAATAGAATTATCTTTATCAACAAGTGAATTATAAAATTTAGGTAATCGAACGATAAAACTAAATTCAGTAGCATTAACTCGAGAAAATTTAACATTAAATAAGGAACTAATAGAATTAAGACATCGATAAGTTTTAACAGATAAACCAAAAACGGAAATGAGATCAAAACCATAACCTCCATTAATGTAATTATAAAAAAAGAGATAATCAAGGTAATTTAGTCTAGAACTTAAAGTAGGAAGAATGATATAATTGGAAGGGATATTACAAGTACGAGAAACAAATTTAACAAATCGTTTTTGAATAATGTTGATTTTAGTAAGGCCATGTATTAGACATGCAATTAAAAATAACAGAATTAAATTCGATATAAGGTCTAACAAGTGAACAATACAGATCAGTTAATGCTTTTTGGTTCCTAATATTCCAACAGTTACGCTTAATTCTAGCATTCTATTAATTTTGCAGCAAACCTGTTTTATATGCTCATTAAAAGTCAACTTATAATCAATAGTAGTACCAAGGTCACGGTGAAAATGTACGACTTTGAAGACATGGCCGTTTACATTATAAAGGAAAGAAATTTTAATATTTAATATTAATATGTAAACGTAACCAAAACAGTCAGAATATGTAAGAGTCACGCTTTCGCGACGTATCACTCAAAAAATCGCCATTTAGTAATAGGGATTTTCACTCGGGGAAAGTGTAAAATAATTGCGAGTCTTCTTACAGTCACTCTATAAGAGTGAAATTCACGTTCTACTGTTAGAGAGTAGAACGTGATCGACAGCTTTAAAATGGATATGTAAATGTATCAGTATAGTATAGTATACTGTAATCATTGTATGTTTGAAATTAAATGATTATTGAAATACTTAGGGTTATATTACTTGGGTTTACAAGACTTGTATTTAGGTTATAATGTTTTAATCAGAGTTAGACCTATTTTTCTTACAGTACATTAATCTCAAAAATATATGCTGCATACTCCAATGCAAGATTCAATATATAGTGTTAGATAATGATAGATAAAGTATTTCAATGTTTTATTGTACCAGGGGCGTGGTAGAAAGAACAGTATAAGGCAGACCCGCAACCAGAATGCTGTAAGGCGGGGGGAGGTTTCTATGAGAATCCAGGGATAGGGTAGGTGTGAAGGTCACTGGAGCCGATGAATTCTAGCATGTAACAGGTGAACTTGCTCATCATTTGGATGGATTTTGATATAAGTGAAAGTTTGACCGGAGACAATAGTCTCAGTCAAAAGGGAAATCACTTGGAAAAGGGGGTGTGGTGGGGTATTTCTTTAATCATTGTTTCCCATAGTCTTTCATTTTTGAAAACCATTCAAAATATGGTAATTCCGCGATGGCCATGCTTGTGTTTCTGCTTTTTTTTTTTTATAGATTATTTGACTTCATTACACGCTACCATTACGTTATGTACATCTTTGGTAACATTTCAGTGACAAAATCACTAAGGCATAACTAGTGATTGGTGATTTTCTCATACACAGTGTATAAGCCAGCCTCCGCCATAAACAAACTTGTCCTGCACTGAATTTGATATAAATAAACTGAATTTATAATAGCCTTTCTGGGATAACTTGAACTTTATAACAATTTTCTTAATTTGACCATCGCTTGTCGTTACAGAATCAAAACTATCTGTTAAGTTATCCGCTTGATTACGGAAATTTAACTTTCCAAGAATTTTTCCTCGAGGGTCTGTCGATATAATTAGTTTGCACTCAGCTCCAGAAGAAGTGGAAATAATGGACGATTCTGGTGTCACTACCGAGAAGCCATAATCAAAAAAGATTTTAAGAGGACCCCATGGTCGTTTATCATTTGAAGGAAGTTCCATTTGTTTCGACTTATGAGCATCTATCACAGACTGATCTATCATCCAACTACCTAGATGGTCAAATTCAGAGAATACATCAAAACGGTAAAATCCAGCCTCGTGTGGATAAAATTGAAATTTGTATAACATCTTTTCGTCGTTTCGTTCAATAACAGAATCTGCCAAAACACACTCGTGCAAATCAGTATCTGAATTGTCCTTTAGGCTGAAATTAAGACCTGTTGGCTTATTCAACTCCGATTCGATAATTAATGTGGAATCTTCGTCATTCGGATAGATTGTGGAACGGTTTGGTGATATAACTTGCAAGTTGTTGACCGTCATTTTGGAAGCAATACTTCCCCATGGTACATTTTCATTGCCAATGAACAGCTCTCCCTCATACAAATTAACAACATTAAGTAGCCAACGTCCTATTAAATCATTAGATTCCGCGCCAATTTTTCCTGCGAATATTTTAAATTCGTAAAATCCCGAGACGGGTACACGAAATCTAAAACTCAATTTAACATATTTTGTTCCACGTGATCGATTTGTCTCAGCACAGACCCAACTACTTGTTACCTTGTCGTTTTCAGCTTTTATTCTATAAGAAAGTTGGATTTGTTCTTCGTTAAAGCTCAGTTCAAAAACGGTCTCGTCTTTATTACACGTTATTTCAGAACCTTTTTTGGGGTTTAATAATATATCCAATTTGGATAAATTGTCGGCTGGTCCCCATTGTCGTTCCTCAGAAAGGTACGATGGTAACGGCGTTCCCTGCTCATTCTTATTCAAAATCAGATAAGTGGCAACTTGCGGAAATTCATTGTCATCAACCTGATCATTGTTAGGTCTGGCTCCAAGTATCAACGAATATTCTCCCTTCTTTGGGCATCGGATATTAAACACAACTTTTTCTGGATAGGCATTTGCAAATACATACTTATTAAGTTGGCCTAAGGATTCTGAGTGTCTGAATTTGAATCTTATTGGCTCACCCCCAGGTCTATAAACTGTAAACTTAGCGTACCCATCATCTGTTTCAATGATGGGGAAGTTGACAGAGGATCTAAATCCACCATCTGTGAAAGCAGGAAGTGATCCTAGGAGACTTGTGAATTTGGGGAATGGCTGTGAACCACTGACGCATGTCGTGTGTACATTAAATCTTAACAACCTATCCTGGATCATTTTCTTTGAACGCTCTGACAAATTCACGGGATTACCAAATATTACAACACTGTACGATCCAGCTCGTGGAAGACGTACAAACAGCGTTGTTACCTTCTCATTTGTAAAAGATGCTACTGAATTCTCTACGTGTTTGCCTGTTGCGTCATCTATCAATGTACTCCATAAGTCCATCTTCCACATACTTTGAAATTGAAAATCAACTTTATTTGAATTTGTTTTAATATATCCAGCAGTCGTTAAAATCGACATCTGTAAGATAACAAAATAAAAAATTAAATGATTTAAACAGTCTTAGACGTTTTCATATCAGAAAGTCTATACAAGATGATTTATATTGATTTATATTTACAGTACATCAGAATGGATTCATTAGTGTTCTTTATTGTGAGACACAAAACCCCAAATCATACCATGAGAATCTACATACGGTTCCTTGTCAATTGTTTCAATGAAAAATTAATGTTTGTACTGTATTGTAAAATGTCAAGAATTAAGCACTCGCGTCATTACTTATCCAAACAAGAGCGACCGCTCACCAGGTCCGCGCGTTCCTCCATGCTTAAATACGGTACACGCGCAAATTATTATATTGGGTTTTTGGAAGAGCTATTAAGATAGAAATTTTTAAATAATTAGAATGTTTTTTTGTACAAAAAAAAACATTTAGAATTACCATTTGTACAAAAGTAAAATAAATTAATTAATTAAAGATAAAAAAAGAAGACGCGTTTCGAACTCACGTTCTTTAGAACACATTCTTAACCTACTGCGCCATTCATGCGACGTGCAGTAATTTTTAAATAATTAGAATGTATATTTGTACAAGGAAAAAAACATTTTTAGAATGATCATTTGTACAAAGCTAAAATACTTAAAATTTAAAAAAAAAAAAAAATTCTTAAAATTGGAAAAAAAAAATTGAATACCAAAACGCGTTTCGAACTTAAGTTCCTTAAAAGACATCCTTAACCGAAGGTCGCGAGTTCGAATCGCGCCTCCGTGTTAATTTTCTTTTTAATGGGCACTCGTTTGAAAAATGAAAAAAAAAATAAATACGCGATTCAAACTTGCTAAATACGTGATTCCGCGCCATTCATGCGACGTACACTCTTGCGGTTGTGGTAAATAGTAGTAATGTAAAGTCCTTACTGAAACCCCTGTTTTGTTTTGTAGGTGTAGGTGAAACCCTGGGCCCAACTACAAAAAAGCGCGATGAACGTTTGAAATTCCCTCTAGTTTATGTGTACAAAATTTCCTGCACGTCCGTTCAAAGCGGGCGACCCTGGACGCTTTTAAAGTTTGAAACCCCTGTTTTGTTTTGTTTTGTAGGTGTAGGGGGAACCCTGGGGTAAAACTTAAAAAGGCGATGAACGTTTGTTGGAAATCACCTCTAGTTTATGTGTACAAAATGTCCTGCACGTCCGTTCAAAGCGGGCGACCCTGGACGCTTTTAAAGTTTGAAACCCCTGTTTTGTTTTGTTTTGTAGGTGTAGGGGGAACCCTGGGGTAAAACTTAAAAAAGGCGATGAACGTTTGTTGGAAATCACCTCTAGTTTATGTGTACAAAATTTCATGCACGTCCAATCAAAACTGACGACGTTGGACACTTTTTAAGTGTTTAAAGTTTTGGTAAACAACAGCAAGAACAAGAACAACAAGAACAAGAACAAGAACAGCAGTGAGGCTCTGGGTCAGCGCTTCGCGCGGTCCAAAAAGAAAATAAAATGGTAAAAATTACCAAATATACCTTATACAAACAACCTGATGGAAACACGCGTGCCTCGAGTGTCCATTGCTTTAAGTCAAGTTCTTCGTCGTCTGGTTTGTGAGAGTAACGCAGCGTTTCTGGCGGGACTAAGAAGTAGCCCTCATTCCACTGGAAAATATATTCGTACTTTCTATTCTCTCTTTCTATCATACAAAATATAATGACAAAAAACGTGAACAAATTCGTAAGATTTCAAGGCTATTCCTGACTTTGGCAACTAGGATGAAATAAAGGTATTAGTATTAGAAGTATGCCTACAGTAGCAGAAACAACACTAGCATGAGTAGGATAATTATTATTATTACTAGTAGTAGTAATAGTAATAGTAGCAGTAGTAGTAGTAGTAGTAGTAGTAGTAGTACCAACAGAGCATGCTTTCATGCGTTAACTGTTAAAGACCAAAGTAAATTAATAGAGGGATTCGGCGATGTTTGTTTTCAGCCGGTCACGTGACCTACGGTGGCTGTAACATGGAAAACATTACAGTACAGTGCGATCGGTGTGAAAATATAGGAAAATGTTATGTTATGGTTTCGAAAACTGAGGTGGTGTTTTCTCCTATCTGTGAAAGTTCTTCCCTGTGCCCTTCTATTTCGAATCCACCGCTATAAAAGAAAATGGGTGGGGCTGACATACATAGAAAATCGAAGTACTCAATTTATGTCGGCCGCCACTGGTCTCAACAGGTTGGAACTGCCTCCCCCCCCACGCTTAGGTTGAAAGGTTGAATACCTGGGTCCTATGCTATGCGCACGCTGCAACTGCCTCTCTGTGGTTTTGTTTTCTTTTACCACACATTGAAAATCGTTTTGGCCAGGTACTCAATCTGTCCGCCGGTACTGTCCTCGCTGGAGGCGAAATTCGCGATAGTTCGGTCCGTCCGGGAGGCATGCGTATCTAGGATAAGTCACAATCGGGCCTATCCAATCGGA